TTACCCAATGACCAGATCTATGTTCACTCCTGAGTCTGACCACTTGCCTAGAGAGAGCTCCAGTCATCTGGACACCGTCCCCATGCCTACTTGGTAGAGGTCTAGTCGATCTGGCTCCTCCTGGATCCAGGGAAGGAGCACCTCCAGAGAGACTCCCCACATGCCAGCCAGGTGCTCTTGGCTCTCTGCAGAATATATAAACTGGACTGCTTCCAAACTTAGGGGGCCCAGCAGGTGGCAAGGGGCCCTTAGAGTAGACCCACTCAAAAGCCAAGCCTGCCTGGCTATACATATAAGGTCAGTATGAGCAGGCCTCTTCTGTATGTTTAACCCCCCAAAGTAGAGCACAGGGTGGGTATATGTGGGGACTGGAATCATCAAAGCTATGCAACACCTAAAACATAGGTCCTAGAGGCTAAGCCTTGTTCATGGCCAGAGCCCCTGTCCCTGCCTACCCCTTCCAACTCCTAGCCTGAGATGCACCCTAAGAGGACTCTCCAGCCATCCTGGGCATGAGAACCACATTCTTATTTGTGCTTAAGCCCAGGACAGGGTGCCAAGGATACAAAACAATGTACTTCCAACACCAGAGTGGACACTGATCCTAGGAGGGGCTGGCCAAGTCTAACCAGGCTATGACCCAAGATCAAATTCAGAAAGGTTTTGGATCAAGCACTTCCATGTTGGATATGACTTTCCAGGACAGTCAGGAGCCCTTTGCAGTGGCTCATACCCCAGCTCCAAGTCCCAGCCTGGCAGGCACAAGTGTCAGACTGAGCTTGTGGGAAGTCAGCCTACCAAAGGGGCTAGCAAGGCCAGCCAGCACCTCTAGCTGCTCTAAAACAATGGCTTGGGATCAGGAGCAAACTAAGGCTGCCCAGCACAGCGATGCCCATGCTTTCTTTGTCCCCAGCCAAAGATGGGATGTATCTAGACGCTCGGGCCATTTCATAAACCAGTTCAAAATGGGAGAATGTAGAAAATAAATTACCTTCCCCTGAGCTCTCCCCACTCTTGAGACCCTCAAGGTAGCCCCCACCTGAATATCATAGCAGTTGCAGACAGTCTGCCTTCCATAGCATGCCATGCTCAGGCTGGGCAGCCATGCTAGGTTGTCTTCCCTGTATCTTTGAGATATCAGAGCCTAGTACCAAGTGAGTCTTGAAAAAACCATATGGTACAGCTGGGTACAAGCCTGGCTGCTTGTCTTCTGGGCAGGTTGCATGGGATTTTCTGTCCACGTTGGAGCCTTCCACTAATCCCGAGACACCCACTCACTTGCTCTTGGGCCCCCAGCCGCTGGGGCTCATCTGGAGACAGCACATTCCAAGGAAATTACAGGTAAGTGGCTAATGACCTCCGATTAGGGGCAGGAATGGGGAGAAAGAGCAGACAGACAGACGCAGGTGGAGTCAGGCGCAGAGACAAGGCCCACCCTGATCCTGGCCACCTGCCCAGGCATTGCTCTGTGGAGCTGGCCCCCGATCAGTGTCTCCTCATCTCTCATCTCCATCCGTCTCTTTGTGGGGCCCTAAGTTCCATTCTGTGAGTCTTCATCCTGGGCATCACAGACCCTGCAGCAGCCAACAAGACCAAAGGACAAAGCTGTGAGACCTTTACCTTGGGCAGGGAGGCCCTATATGTGGTTCAGGAGAGCCTGTCTGGTGCTGCCCACCATGCTGGGTGGTTGGCTTCGAGCCTCAGTCTGATCTGCACAAGGTAATAGCTGCTATTAGTGGAACAGAGAAATTACAGGCCTAGCCATGCAGAGAAGCAGCCCCTGAAAACCCTAATAATGTAAATGAGATGTTTATGGATCTGCAGAGGGGTAGATATCCAAACCATACTTCTGTCCCATCTCCTTCCTAGTCCCTCCTTTGCCTCACAGAACCTTGGTCCTTAGTATCAGTATCTCCGCTGATATGCCCTGAAAGGTCACTGTGTGCAAACTATCTCCCTGCCATAGTGGATGGAGGCCCTGCTCCTCCTGGGATGAGAATGCATGGATGTCCCAGTCCAACGGGCTGGGGCTCTGGAAGGAAAACTAGAGAGCTCCAGTTCTTGGTCCAGCAGGTAGGCTGCCTAACAAGGTTACAGAGAGCAGGAAAAAAGAGGGCTCCCAAAACCCGGATATTTCAATCTGACCTGGACTCTCACGCCTGTCGGGATCTCGGTAATTGGCAAGCGGGAGGACAGTCACTCCTTCCACACTTGGGCCCCTTTCTATTTACTCAGTAGACCCTGCTTATGCTCTGTGTGAACCCTAGCAGGCTTTGCACCATCCCCCATCAAAGCAGAAGGCACAGAAGCTAGGTCATGTGAAAAACAGACCTCTCCAGACAGCCCCCGCCCCTGACGCCACATGAGGGTTGGGAGTGAGGGTCTGGAAGAAAGGTGGGGATGGGTCAGTGGCCAAGCCTATTACCACACAGACTGGCGCCACCCACACCACCTCCGTGCCTGGCTTGATCTGCCTCACTGCCCAGCAAGACCCCAAGGAAGGGCCCTCCTATGGTACCTCAAGGACAGTCAAGGCCTTGGGTGAGAGATTGCCCACAGACCTGTGAGCAGACTCCTCATCTCTCAGCCGTATACTTCCCTTTGGGAGGTCATTCCTCGGCCAGGGAAACTCTCCCCTGCTCAGTCTTGAAGACAGAATGCTGATGGCCTGAGAAGGTTTTGTCTTGAGAAAGTCGGGAGCTGGAAGCACCACCTTCTGATGGCCCAGGTGCCAACTAGAGATGCTATCTTGGAAGCTCAACAGGCTGGGACACCCTGACACTAATTTATATTCTTTGACAGGAGTTTGCCAGAGCCAAAGTAGTGCAGGGATAGAGGGATCTCATTAATCACTGACTCCTACCTTGAGGACTGCAGTGGACGGGCTGCTAGGTCTGCCCTGCACACCATCTGTGGGCTCTGTTCTTTAGGGAGTGGTGGCCTTCACTGAGTGAAGTGAAAGTGGCAAGAAAGGGAACTCCTGCCTTAGCCTGGACAGGCTTCCCTACCCCAAACTTTGTCTTAATCACACTTGGGTTTGCAGGTGCTCTCCAACGCGGCACACCTAAGAAGTGGGCAGTCTTGTATGCTGCTTATATAGCCTTGCTCCCGTCAGCAACCCCAACAGTTTGTGGGCCCCTCCTCATAGGGTGCAGGCCTCACAGGGCCCTTATGCTGACTAGTTTTTGTTTTTTTTCCTTTTTGTTTATGTCAACTTGACAAAGGCTAGAGTTAAATGAGAGAAACTCGATTGAGAAAATGTCTCCATAAGATTGGCCCAACCACATATGGTGGCACACACCTTTAGTCCCAAAACTTGGGAGGCAGAGGCAGGCAGATCTCTCTGAATTTGAGATCACACAGAGTTGGGGGACAGCCAGGGCTACACAGAGAAGTCCTGCCTTAAAAAAAAAAAAAAAAAAGTCAACCAGCAGCACTCTTCCTGCCTTGAGTTTCTGCCCCGGCTCCCCTCAGTGATGGAGAGTGCGGTCTGAGACCTTTATGCTGAAATAGACCCTTTCCTCTTCAACTTTCTTTTGGTTATAGTGTTTCATCACAGCAATCGATGCCCTAAGACAGGAATTGGTACTGTGAGTGTGATATTCTGTTTGAGAGACCTGACTGTGTGTTTTAGGAAAGACTGTGGAAGGACTTTGGAACTTGGGGCTAGAAAAGCCATTGAGTGCCCTGAGCTTAGTGAGCTACCGTAACTTACAGATGATGGAGAATTCTGAGCATCCCTTAAGCCTACTTATCAGAGCTATTTGCTATTTTGAATTAAGAATCTGTGGTCTGGTCAGCCAGGGCTGTTATCTTTCCTCACTGGGATAACTGACACAGGTCAGCTGGGGCTAAAGGATCAGCTGTGATTAAGAGACTACATTACTGAGGGAAAACCTTTCCGGAAGCGTTTCCTCAGGGTCGGCACACAGAAGCTCTGATCCCAGAAGCAGCCAAGTCTAGCAGGTGAACTTGGTAATAGAGAGTTTTGCCAGGTGATATTGGTTATGAAGGCATGAAGGCCGGGCACCCTGAAAGGTCAGGAGAGGCCACTGGTGAAAATGCAGCCTCAGCTGTAGTAAAAGCTCCAGGACTGAAGGGGTCACAAGAGAGGTTGAGGATTGGAACGTGCAGCTCCCCGGAGAGCCCAGGAGAGGCTGCTAATGAGGTACAGCCCAGCTGCAGCAGAGAACCCAGCATTCGGGAAACACCAAGGCCATAGGATGATCACCTCGGGTAGCAACAGGTGTGGAGGCCAGCCTGTGAAACAAGCCGCAAGTGCTAAGGATGGCAAAAACCAGAAGGGGACTTGCCAAGACCCTTCCCAGACATGAAGCACTGAACTTTTTATACTCTTGGACTTTGCTTTTGCTTTGACTGTACCCTAGTTCTTTTCTCTTGAAATAACAAAGTATTTAACTTGCTTTTTGACTTTACAGAAACCCATAATTATGAGGTCTTGGGTATTTTAGAGAAATTTTGAACTCTTTTTTAAAAATGTATATAGTGTTCTGCCAGCATGGATGCCTACACACCAGAAGAGGGCACCAGATCTTATTATGGATGGTTGTGAGCCACCATGTGGTTGCTGGGAATTGAACTCAGGACCTCTGGAAGAGCAGTCAGTGCTCTTAACCTCTGAACCACCTCTCCAGCCCCCCAAAAATCTGAACTTTAAAAGAGACTTTGAATTTTTTTTTTTTTGAAACATGGTTTCTCTGTGTATCCCTGGTTGTCCTGAAGCTCACTTTGTAAACCAGGCTGGCCTCAAACTCACATCACCTCTCTCTCTCTCTGCCTCAAGGTCAACTCAGTCTCCAGCTTCCCCCCTCCTCCCACTCAATGGCTGGAAATCTGTCTAGAGACCTTGTGAGGGGATTTCACTCTGGTCCCTCTTTGTGGCTACACTCCGCTCTGGGATCGCATTCCGACAATCTGCTTGCTGTACATCTCCAGTACCAACACAATAACCAGACAGCACCCAGAGTGATGGAGAAATCCGGAGCTCTTTATTGTTATGACAATTATTAATGGGGAGCAGTCCTTGTAGTTCCTCCTCAATCATCGTGTCTTCAGCTCCCCTACGTACCCAAAAGCAGTCCAGAGAAACTGGAGCTGTTCTGGATGGTGAGGACGGCCCCAGAACTGTTGTCCACGAACACGGAGACATACTGTCCAGACTGAAGACATTACAGTGGGCATCGTTACGAGCGGGTGGCCCCAGCCCAGAGATTTACCCACCCATGGGGATAGCATTTGGAGCCAATACTCCCACCCACACAGATCTAAATCCTCCTGAACAGGCAGCACCCTCCTGGGCACAAGGGTTCACAGGTCCTGAGCAACTACTTGCACAAGGCTGTAAGACCCTCCCAGGCTAGAAGCCCACCCGCCTGTTCCCTGAGCCTACACCCTTACCTGTAGCTGCAACAGCCCCTGAACCTGCACTGTGAAGACCCTGCTGTTGCTCTCCAGGCCTGATACAGCCTCCAGGGACCTAGGCATAGCACCAAAGGGCAACAGTGTAGGGGCCACTGGCCCATGGTGCTCAGATACCCCTCAAGGTGGCTACTTCTTATCTCAGTCCAAGGACAGACCCCAGAGGACCACTGTGGGCAGCAGGACTCAACTCACGTGTGTTGATGACACAGGGACTCAATACAGATGAGGACACGGATAGTGTCCCGGGTACGCAACCGGCCTCTGCCCTGTAGCTCACTGTGGTCTGTGGAGAGAGCAGTAGATAGGGGGCCTTCAGGACACTGCCTAGAACAGACTCAAGTGTCTGCCAGGGGGGAGGGACCCATCACCCATACTGCACACACAAACTGGCTCACCAATGTGCAGGGTGGCAGAAAATTGGAAGATGGCAGAGACTGGTGCTGTGAATCGGCCCAAGGCCAGGCTCAGGCCAGATCCCCGCAGGAAGGCACCCTGGGCAGTAGGCTGTAGAGATTGGGAGGTGACTGGCTGAATTTCAGGGCCTGGACCCTCACCATAAATACTCTAGCCAAGGGAAGTAGCTATAGCCCAACCCCATATGGGTCTTTTCTGAGCCACATTCTCTTTGTGGAAAGGACAGGCCTGATCTGTGTGTCTACAACCATGTGGGCCTTAGAGCAACGGTTCTAGGTTCCAGGGAGTAAACAGGACCCCAAAAGCTATCATAGGAAGTGGCAACTCTAGGCCCCACTTCTGACTTAGTATAAGGTGAGGAACATTCAGACTCCTAACTGGTAAACGCTGGCCCTTATCCTCTACAATAGTATCTCTCAGAACCAACACAGGCACGTGTCTAGTGGTGTCTGAGGGCCCATCTTGCCAGTAGGTGCCCATCTCTATAACCCATCTCCTTGGTTTAGAAGCCCCAAAGATGAAAGGACTACTTTGGCCCAGGTCCCACTCACGGTCTGGAATCCTTGCAGCTCCACCAGTGTCTTCTTGTCCACCAGCACAGGACCTTTCAAGCGGCAGTGGAAGGCCTCAACCACCAGCCGATGGCTGGGTTCTTGGGGTAACAATATATCTGGTAGCCCTGAGAATCGAAGTTTCGTGGCCTCTGTGGGGAGGGCCACTTTGGGTCAGGCCCCTTCTAGCCCTGAAAGAGCCTCTTGGCTTCTGAAAGAGGTAGGGTGCAGGACACAGTCTTACCTTTCAGCATCTCCTGAAATTCCTGCAGCAGGACCTCTGGGGTGACTTCCATACCAGGGGAACCAGGGGGACCAGGAGGGCCAGGGGGTCCCGGGGGCCCTGGGAGACCCGAGAGGCCTCGCTAGAAGAGGTAACAAAGTGAATCTAAGTAGGACCACTAGTCACCCCTTTCCCTGGGCTTAGAACTTGAAGGGAACCCACAAGGGCGGCTTCCACAGCAGCTCAGGGGCTTACCGACTTCTTATTCCGGCCACGGCACCGTTTCCTAGTGGCCCCATCATCTGGCCGGCGGACAAAGTTCAGCCATGTCATGTGGGCATCTGAGAGTTCAGGTCCAGAGACCTCTGGTGGCTGAAAATCCAGAGGAGCAAGGCTAGTGTATTGACTACCAGGCCCTTGGTCTCTGTCCTGACATACTCCAAAGATATTTATGAACGACAGGTTAGTGGGGGGGGGGGGGGATTTGGGTACACAATAAGATGTCACAGCATAACTCAAGCCACAGTCCGAAGGGACTATCCCTGGTGATCAAAACCTGGATGTCCCCATGGGTAGGGGATGGGGGTAAGCAAGGTGAGGTCTGCTGCCTCTGAAAAAGCAAGAACCTGATGTTAGGAAGGACAAACACTGCTTCCCCCTTGGGTGCCACCCAGGGACAGAGGCAAGAACATCTAAATACACCACAATTCTCTACCCAGATCTGACCCCCTGGAAGTAATAAGGGCAAAGGCTACAGGGAGATGTGGAACAAGATCACCCCCAGCACAAACCTAGCTAATGAGGACTACTTAGGACTGCAGGAACTCCCACTTAAGGGGCCACACTCTCCCTTTTGCTTGCCCAGGAACCAGCGTATGGCTTACATTCCCTCAGTTCTGCTCAGCCTATTTGGAAAATGGGGCCTTAGGCTTGAGATGGGTTGATGTGGGCTGAGAGGCAACCAGAGAGACACCCTAGGAAGGAGAGATGCAAGGGTCAAAGGTTCAGAGCCAGAAGGTTCCTGTTTGAGTAACGGCTGTTTCCCTTCCTGTCCTGGAGGCCCCTAGGATGGCAGCAGTAGAGGCTTTGAGACTAATGCTCAGGAGAGAACCCTGTCCCTAGAGAAGCCCCAGCAGATGGACCCCTGGAAAGCACAGGGGACAGGCTGGTCAGGCTGCTGCCTGTATCAGGTGCCCCATTTACCAGTCTGCCTAAAGTCCTTCCCCCACCCTCACCTGAAACGGCAATTATACCTAATGGCATCCGATTACTGAAAAGCATCCTGAGGCTTCAGTTAACTGTAGCCTCACCAGGCATGGTAGAGGGGGGCTCCCCACAGGCCAGCCCTTGTACTGTCTGCAGCAAACTCTAAGCCAGGACCAGCAGTCAAGGCCTCAGGCAGTGCTCAGGTTCTTCCCCAAGAATAGGAGCAGAGCTGTTGAGGTAGGGGACAGTCTAAGCTTTGAAGCTGTACTCACGCGCCCACATGAGCCCCAGCACGCACCTACCTTGAAGAAGCCTGGCAATCCCTCGCGGTTGGGTGTGGTGATATTAGGGGACTCCACGCGAATGGCCAGCTGCCGTGACCCCGCTCCTGCAGTCTGCAGCCAGAGGAGGGCTGCTGTGGCCCAAGCCCAGGCCCACATGGCTCGGTTTCCACAGGCAAAGGCTTACGGATAGGAGGCCGGGCCAGTGTTCTCATGGGGGCGGCCGCATTCAAAGCCCCTGCGCGGGGGCGAGGCCCAAAAACGAGCCCGGCTGCCGCTGGTGCACGTCTGCAAGATGAGCCAGAGCGCAGCAGAGAGCTACTGTCTCCACCAACCTCCCCTCCTGCATAGTACCCTTGCCGGTGCCCCACCACCAAACGAGCCCTCCCTCCTTTCTAAGCCTCACAGGCTCCAAGGGGAGGGTTCATATAGGGCTCATCCACTGCCTGGAAGGCGGGGCAGGGCAAGGGCGGGACCCCCGTGACCAGTGATTCAATCACCCCTTTTAAAGAAGTAGGGAGGAGCAGGGCTGCATCTCCCCTGCACAAGCAGTTCCCTGGTCTCTTTTCATCAAGATTTTTATTTAGTTAAGCTAGAGGTGGGGGCACGGGTGCTGTTAGCATCAACTCTGTGGCATCTTTCATACCTTCAGGGCTCACTGTGATTCCCAAGTGATTCATTCACTTTAGCAAGCTTTCTACAAATCTCCCAAACCTCCTCACACACACCTCATTCACCAGATGCAGCCTCTACTCTAAACCCGCAACACAGGGCACTGGAGGAGAGCATCTCCACCACCTGGTTGCCTGCCCCTCCCAGCCAGTGATCCTCCTCTACTTCCATGAGGCCTACCAGGCTGATCTCTGCAAAAGCAGAGCAAGTAGAGGCTGCTGGTCTAACTTGTGTACACCAGTCACGGGGTGAACCTCTACCGTCTGTCCCCAGGCCTCTCTCCTAAGTTAGCACAGGTCATCTGACCAGTGGAATTTCCCCCTCTAGTACTTGTGATACAGTGGCAGGTTCCCAGAGGAAGAGGTCTTCTGAATCACCTTCAGGCTGCAAGTTGGTTAGCTGAGGCCAAGCCAAGTCAATGGTACCTTCGCCTCTGACTATAAGGTAGTGGCCCTTGTGAGACTGGGCCAGGATTCCCAAGAGCCAGTTGACCTCCCACTGGTAAAAGCTGTGGCTAAGAGCAGTCACAGCCAGTGGATCTAACTGCTCTATAAAGAAACGGGAGCTGCATCCCCAATATACACTGGTTCCAGTGGGTTTGGGTCCTGGTAATCAGAACAGAATGTTCTAGAATAGAGCCCCCTCAACTCCCACATCCCCCCCCAAAAAAAGGGGGTGAAAGGTGGCCAAACAAGCAAACCCAGCTCCAGGCCACACCCAGTCAGAGAAGCCTAACAAAGCTAGGGTTTCCAGCTCCCAGGCAAATCGTCCTCCCCAGGAATAGCAGAGGTTAATCCTGAAGTGATTCACACACACTGTCAATGCCTCGAGCCCTCAAAAGTAACGCTGGCCCTCATATTTATTGGTGAGATTACTCTGGATGATGAGGAAGGACCAGCATTCGAACCTGCAATGACCCATACCTAGTATATACCTGTATGTCAAGGAAGACAGCTCTCCTGGTTCACCTATACCCTGGTGGCCTAACCCTTCTCAGTGTGACTGGTAATGGGATTCCCCAACTCTGCCTTGCAGTTTATAAGCAGATAGGCTAGGAGGCAAGACTTGGCCTGTCACAGGGATACCACAGTAAGGACTTCCTTGGAAAATAACCAAAAGGATTCTACTTTGGTTTACAAAGACCCTGACCAAGCTGACCAAAGCAACTTCTGGCTCTCAACCCCCAAGCCCTGGAGAAAACAGCATGACAGGAACCCACTGGCTCACTACACAAGGAGACTGTGCCCTCCTGCCCATTCTCTAACGACATGTCCAAAGGTCAGCCAGGCCTATAATCCCAGTACCTAGGAGGCGGGCTCTGCTACATAGTAAATTCAGGCCAGCCTGAGCTACATGAAACCCTATTAAAAAAGAAATTCCCAAAAGTTGCCTGGGAATTGTTTTTTTTTTTTTCCCTCAGGAGAGGAAAAAGAGGTAGCAGAGCTGAGATGTTTCCTCCCAAAGTACCACTCCCTAAATATCAATGGACGTGAGCTTTGGGAGAGGCTTTTCACCTGTACCAGGATCTAATGGAAGGCAGTCCAGGATGCCAACTTGCCCCTCCAGTGACTTCTGCCAAGAAGGGCAACACACAAACAAGGCTAGACATGCTTGATCCAATGGAATAAAGGCCATCTTTTATTTGGGGTCAGTGCAGGAACTCACTGTGGATACAGGGTCCTCTAGCACTCAAAGGAGCTGGGAGAAGGGCAAAGTCTTGGGGCTAATCTACCAAGCCTTCTCAGCAGGCACCTGCTACACTGAGTGCGACACCTTGTGGTCAGAGATAGGCTGACTTCTTACTTCTACTTTAAGAACAGCACTAAGATTTTCTTTCTTTCATTCTGGGCTGCCAAGAATTGAGATTTCAGCCAAACAGCGGTGGCGCCAGATCTCTGAGCTTGAGGATAGCCTGGTCTACAGAGTGAATTCCAGGACAGCCAGGGCTACACAAAGAAACCCTGTCTCAGAAATAAATAATAATAAAATTAAGATTTCACATACAGACAACACTACATGTTAAGTAAACTAATATTCTGCCTTATAAGAACTTCAGGAAACAAGGCAACTTTGGAACTGATGTTAAACAGTTACCCAGATGCAACAGAGTACTACACAGCCAGGGAAGAACTGAGATCTATGGGGCTCCACCTACTGCCACCACGCCATGCATAGACACATCTCAGCCAATAGCCGCAGGTTTCACAGGCCCAGGCCCACCTTTGGGCAACAGCGAAAACCCTTCCCCAAGCCAGGTGTTACTCTTGCTTAGTCTACCAGGGAAGAACATTAACACTGGTAGCATGGCATTTAAGAATGAAGGTATAACTAAAACCTTTTCAGGAGAGGGCATATACTAATCGCAAATTACAGAACTAAACCAAAACAATCACTCAGGTTACACTTCAGCTTCACCACTGGTCTCTAAAATGAGGTTGGTTTAGGAATCTCTTTGGGTCCCCTGGTGATGGCTGATGTCCTACACAATGTCACTGCCGCCATCTGGTACCTTACAGATGTAATGCAGATACATTAAACATTAAAAAGGTAAGATGTTGGCTATAAGGGAGTCAAGCATCTACGGCAAGAAGGGACAGGTATTAAGGCTGACAGTAATACCAGGACCATCCCCCACCAGCCCAAGCCTTCACTGGAGTCCTCAGCCACTGTTTGTGGTCAGGAAGAGCAAGCTAACTCTTCTACCTTAACAACAGAACAAGCATTTTCTAAAAGTTTTTCCCATTCATATGCAGAGTTTTACAATGAGGCCAAATCACTTCTCTCCTAGACCCCAACTAGGGCTGTTACCCCACTCAGCCCCACTAGGGGTTTGCAGCACTGGCCCCATCATGAAGCCTTCAGCTCCTCCACTAAGAACACACACAGATTATTTATTCGATAGACATTAAAGTTTTATATTTTTTAAGTGACGAAATCTAATAAAATGGAAAACAAAACAAAAAAACCAGGTTTACTAAACAGGTCCAAAAGACAACACAGGAGATAAGTAATAAAACCAAAGCGTGAGTGGCCCTTGTCCACATCAGCCTCTGGAGGGAGGTAAGAATCTCCAATCTCCAAATCACACATTTTGGTTTTTGCTTTCTAAGGTTTTTAAAAAGTGAAGCCCAGGAGTCCAGCAGGCCATCCTGTGCTCAGCAGCATGTCCATTCCGCCTGCACCAAGCTCTGGCCCCTGCGTCCCTCAGCAGCAACTGTCGACTGCGGCTCTTGAGCCTCACTCCTGTGCTATGCTTCTCAGCACATACTTGACCGTGTAGGCAAAGGCCGCAAACCCAACTATAACAAACAAGTTCGCCAAAGCGCCGCCCAAGAGTCCATGATGCCTGTTGGCCTGTGGGAGCCCAGCGAGGTTCGGGCCGGCAGCAGGTGCATGCCCATTGAGGAGCTGGATCCCGTTCTGGCCACGGTGCATCTCCCCATCAGGAACCACGTCTGGCAAGGGAAGGTTCTGGGGCCTGCTACTTAGTTCATCTTGTGCTTTCTGTTTCTGTTTAATTTCCTGAGAGAAAAACACAAGAACCCTCAGTTGTCTTAAAACAAACCTATTCCTTTGGGAGCAGCACTCGAGTTTTTATGAACCCACAGTTACCACCCAGAACACAGGTCTGCATTCCCCTGCAGCAGATCCTAACCCAATAGAGGACAGTTCCTGGTCCCAACTTTACAGGTGAAAAAAAAAAAAAAACAAGATATCAGAATTACTATTCTGTGCCTGCACCAGGAGTAACAATGAGCCATCAAGTATTACACCACTGTCCAGCCTGGTGCTTCTGCTCACTGTCATGGTCTCAATTCCATACGGCATAGTACATACCCATGTACCTCCTAGCCACTGTTGGTGGATCAACTGAGGGACGGCCGCTGATTGGCAACTTTCATGCCTCTGTAAGGACAGACTCAGTCCCCAACACTTACACGTCTCTCTGGGCCTCCCCCATCCCTGGGCTCTGTCTATCCTACACTGTAAGGTCCTGGAGAAGTGCCAGCTCTGTCACCCAAAAATGTGGAGGCATAGCCAACACAGACCCCTCTATGTCCTGCAACAACATGGAGGGCTGCAATTTCTCTACGTCTACGGGGAAACAGCAGTAGGCACATAGACTCAGATTTTCTTTGGAAACAAATCATAAGTGTTTTAACATAGGGGAAGACAAAAACTGAGTTCCAACTTTTGCTTTCTTACCTCCACAACTTCAGGAAATAATTCACAAAAGACTTTATCTTTTAAATTAAACACTAAACTCTGTGCTGCCAGCTGTCTTTTCTAGGAAGAAAGAGAAAGGAAATATCAGCCAGAAAGCTAATTTTAATTTTTCTGTTGTTTTGTTTTTTTTTTTTTTTTGAGGCAGGATTTTTCTGTGTAGTCCTGGCTGTCCTGTAACTCACTCTGTAGACCAGGCTATCCTCAAACCCAGAGATCCACCTGCCTCTGCCTCCCAAGAGCTGGGATTAAAGGCGTGCACCACTACTGCCTAGCTAATTTTAATTTAAAAAAGGAAGTAGTAGTTCTTGCTGGGCATTGTATGCCTTTAATCCTAGAAGGGATAGGTGGATCTCTCTGAGTTTGAGACCAGGCTGGTCGACAAAGGGAGTTCCAGGATAGCCAGAGCAGTTACATGGAGAAGCCCTGTCTGGGGGTAAAAAAATAAATAAAATAAAATTCTTAAAAAAGAGATAGATATGATGGTGCACACCTGTAATCCCAGCATTCAGGAGACTGAGGTAAGAGGATCACTACAAGATGGGCAGTGGTGGCGCACGCCTTTAATCCCAGCACTTGGGAGGCAGAGGCAGGAGGATCTTGGTGAGTTCGAGGCCAGCCTGGTCTACAAGAGCTAGTTCCAGGACAGGCACCAAAAACTACAGAGAAACCCCATCTCGAAAATCAAAAAAAAAAAAAAAAGTCACTATAGATTAACAGCCTGCCCTACACAGTGAGTTCCAGACCACCATATGCTAAGAATGAGACCCTAATGGCAAACAAAATCTCAAAACAGACTCCTGCAGAGCCAAGGATTATAGAAAGCATCCAAAATGCCTTTTCCTCTCAAAAACTATGTCTTATGAAGGCTTATTTATCTTTTTATCAATTAACATCACACGATCATGATTCCTATCATCTAAACAGAGAACTGAAATGAGCCCCTTCAAGTCTTACAAAGTCTCCTGAGTGTCAGGGATTCTTAGCATGGACAAAAGCAGAGCTGGAGACAGAGATGGGCAGTGAGGCCATGGGCCATGTTCTAAGGCAGCCAAAGAAGAAATTTCTACAATGTGGCCAGGAACAGGGCAGAACCAGGATGAGAAATTGGAGGCCACGGTGCCACAAGGCCCCAGGCGAGGTGCTGCCACACCTCACCGTGAAGTCCGATGTCTCTATGCTGCCCAGGGTTGGGCCCTTCTCCACCATGAAGCTCAGAAGCCCTGTTAAAATGGTGGAGACAGACCACGCTGGATTCCATGTGTCTGGGTGGAAATCTGTGATGGAGAGACACAGCCTGAAAGAAAACGACTTTTGTAAGGAAGAATGTACATTTCCTATGACCACAGACAGCTCAAAGCACTGCATCACCATGAAGCTTACCTTGTGTTGCACTTAAACCTTCCATTGGGGGTTATCATGTAAATACTTGGAGGTTTAAATGGAAATTCTCTGGGAAAAATTAGTTTTCCATGATAATAGCCACCTATATCAAAAGAAAAATGGGCTTATTAGCCTTGTCAAGAGCCAGTGTGACTGCTTCTCAACTCTCACCACCTTATCCAGTTCCCAGCTGTCTTCCTGAGCCAACAGTATTCCACTGCTCTCTCCATGCTGACTCACAGACTCAACCCACTACCACAGCCTGCCCCCCAGCTTCTGACTCTCCGTCCATTACAACTGTGCCCACAGGAGTCTGTAACGATCACTTGCCCCACTACAGCTACAGAACACCCCTTCTCTCTCCAGACTCTTCATGTTCCTCCCTTACTGAGAACTGAGCCTCCTCCACTGTTTCATTTGGTTCCTAGCAAATATTTTCCTAGCACCAGCATTTGTGTGCAGGAAGAAAAAGACCCACTTGCATTTCAAAGAAAAGGGTCACATGAATAGATGTCAGGCACAAGCTGGGTGAAAGTGGAATCTTTATGATATAACATAGCGCAGATTATAGAGGAAAACAGCAAGCTACTGGACATCAGTTAACTACTTGCGTTAAAGAACACATAAATGAGCCAGGCATGGTGATGCACACCTTTAATCCCAGCATTTGGGAGGCAGAGGCAGGTGGATCTCTATGAGCTCCAGGCTAGCCTGGTCTACAAAGCAAGTTCTCAAAAAAACATTAAAAAAAAAAAAAAACACATAAATGAAGGCTGGAGAGATGGATCAACATTTAGGAGCCTGCTACGCAAACATGAAGAGTTTGGATTCTAGAACCCATGAAACAAGATGGTCCCATGCATGACTACAACTCTAACAATGAGGGTGAGGGAGAGAGATGGATTACTGGAGCTTGTTGGCTACAAGTCCAGGTTCACTGCTTCAACGGAACAAGGACACCTGACACCCTCCTCTAGCTTAGCACACATATTTGCACACCCCTACTCCCACCCCCACTGAAATATGATTCTTTGTGTATAAATACACATTATTGATTGATTGGTCATGCAGGGGATTAGACCTAGGGCCTTGCACATGCTAAGCACTCTACCACTGATCTCTATCCCTAATTCCAAGACACAGGTTAAAGAATACTCAGTGTTTGTGGACAGGTCTCACCTCAAAGCATGAAGATATGCCTGCTAGAAGAATGCTTTTACCAAAATGACTACAGCAAGACAGACCCTCTCCCCTGCAACCAAAGTCAGTTCTTGCCATGGAACACAATCAGCAAAAGGCTCCTCTATAAACCTAACCAAGAGCACAGAGAGAAGTCTATGATGAAAGGGCCACAAGTATAACCTTGGCCAAAGTCCAGGGACAAAAACCCAGACAACAAAGCAGATCTATACTATTTTGTCAGGCTTTGTTTCCCTACTGGTTTGTGCTCTGCCAACACCGACTGAGCTGGTGATGTGCACTGTTTCTGGGCTCTACATCATGCTCTACCATCTGTTCTCCTGCACCACTGCTTGTTCCTCACTCCTAGACCCACATATTGTACAGCAAACAGTGGCCCTTCCACTTAATTCTCCTTTCAAAACATTTTTATTTTTTTGGAATCTACTTTAGGTCCTCTGTCCTTTCATGTAAATTTTAGAGTGAGTCCTAACATTCCTAAAACACAAATAAGATCACATTAAATCCACAATTAGTGGTAAATTAGCAAACTTTCCACAGGAAGTCATGTTTTTACTCTTAGGATGGGTGTGTCCAAGAGTACTAGGAACAGGACAGTCACCGAGCTCAAAATGAGGAGCTGCAGAGGAGACATTAGGAAGGCCAGGATACCTCACACATAAAGAGGAAGAGCACAGGAACGTGGCCATCAACAGTATCATATACTAGAGGATAAAAACTAAGGACTAGCTGGTTGGTAGTGGTGCATACCTTTAACTCTGTGAGTTTGAGGCCAGCCTGGTCTACAGAGTGAGTTCCAGGATAGGATCCAAAGCTATACAGAGAAATCCTGTCTCGAAATACAAAAACAAAAACAAAAAAACAAAAACAAACAAACAAAGGACTGAGGAAATCCCTTAGGCAAGACAATTTAGAGGACTCCTTATAGACTCTTGGAGAATATTATCTACAGCTACCAATGGCTAAGTCTGATTGAGTAGCGACAGCTGAAGAGAGGCAGT